GATCTGTGTTTTGGCCATGAGATCAAACAAGGTCCAAGAGCTGGAAGCAGGCATGAGCCAAGTTGCAGCAGCCATTCTAAAGGAATGTCTCTACAGCCCAGCTGCCAATACCAAAGAAGTTGGGGTCATGCTCAAAGACACCCATGGCTTCAGCAGTCGGTTGTTCCTGAAAATTGGCATGTTCCTGCAAGATGGCCTTGCACACCAAACGTTGTTCTCTTTGAAGGGCCACACTGGCCACAAATTTTGTCATTTGTGCCTCAACCTTTATGCCAAGAAGGCCAAATTTCAGGATGAAGATGGGTGCCAGCTCCTTACAGCTTCCACTTTTGACAAGAAGAGTATCATCAAGGCCACAGACCAGGATGTGCTTGGCACATGCCACAGGCTGAAGCAAGCCTACCACAGGATGTCCAAGAGGGACTTTGCCATCAAGGAGACAAGTGTTGGCTTTGTCTTCAACAGCCATGCATTGCTTTTTGACCAGTCATTGGCACATGACATGCTGCCAGTCCAACAGATTGTCCATGATTGGATGCACACATACTTGGTGAAGGGCTGCTTCCAAACCATTACTTACCATTTGATTGACATTCTCCAGGATGAGTTCAAGCTGGACATGTATGCACTTCTTCTTACCTTTGTCCAGAACTGGAATGTCCCCAAGAAAGAAAAATTAGCCAGTTTGTTCAACCAGAAGCGCAAACAGGCCAATGCCAAGGCTACAACATTCAAATGCACTGCCAGTGAGGGCCTTGCCTTGTATCCAATCCTTGCATATTGGGTGCACACCATGATCTTGCCCCAGCAGCTATGCAAGCAACAGTGCCATGCCTTTCTTGCGCTGGCAGACCTTCTGGATTTGATAGTTGATGTCCCATTGGGCTTGGTTAGCTCAAACCACATGGAGGCAGCACAGGACAGATTCATCCAAGCCTGCTTGGTTGCCGACTGGGCATCCATTATGACCACCAAGTTTCATTGGTGCACCCACATGGCAGCCCACCTCTTTGTCCACAACATGTTACCCAGCTGCTTTGTCCAAGAGAGGAAGCACAAGATTGTGAAGAGATATGGCCAGACCATATCTAACACAGTGAAATTCGAACAGTCTACCATGTCGGAAATAATTTGCCATGATTTATTTGCGCTCTCAGCACCAGATACATTTTCCACATCAGCAAGGCTGCTCTCCAACTGCAAGCCCACCAAGACCATGCAACAGTTTCTACAGCACCACTTTGACCAGGAAGATGTGTGGGTGTGCCAAACTGCTTACCTGCAACCGGCAGGCCAATGCTCCAAAGATGATGTGGTATTTATCGAAGAGCATGGTGGCCAGGTCCAGGTTGGACAAGTCCACATCCATGCCAGCATTGGTGGCGAAGTGTACAGCTTAGTGTCCAATTGGGAGGAAATGTCCAGGGACAAAGAATCCTGGTGTGCTGTTTGCAAGCCAACTGGCCAAGCAGCCATGGTAAAGACATCACAAATTCTGTGTGCCACAAGTTGGTGCCAGTTCAGGGCCCATGAATACAAAGTTCTTATCCCTTTGAGGGCTAGGTGAGAGCTTGTAGCTGAATGGATTGAAAAAAAGAGCACAATGTCAGGTTGCTTGTCAGCAAGCCCGAGGGCTAGTCATTCAAGCTTGGTTGGCTTTTGTGCATGCAAGCCCCATGTAAACTGCTAGGCCTGCAGGCTCCTGTTGCCATGGCTTTGCCAAGTTGCTTTTGCTTGGTCATCATCAAGCATCAAGGCGTCTTGCTTGATCAAAATTTCTTCAGCTTGACCATGTAGGGGGTAGCCATATGGCTAGGCCAAACACCAAATCATGGGCTGTCATGCATGTGTCAAGTCACGGGTAGCCAAAGGCTTGGCAATATAATGGGTAGCCATATGGCTAGGTAGCCAAAGCAGGCTTGACCAAATCATGGGCTGTAATGCATGTGTCAAGTGGTAGCCAAAGGCTTGGCCGTGTCAAGTCATGGTAGCCAGGGGCTTGGCCAACCATGCATGGTTCTGACATGAGCACTTGACAAAGCAAACGTACATGATGGCACTCACTCCTTGACACAGCTGCTTTGTTTTTCTCGCCTTGGCAGTGCAAATGGTACAAGTCCTTGGCATGGCAGTTGGCATGGCCCACACTCAATTCTGTAAATGGTAAAAGCTCTGCATGACTGGTGGTAAGTGTACTTTGGAAACTGGCTGCTCTAAACATGGAGTGGGTGGGCCATGGCCTTGCCTTTGGGGCCCAACTACTGGTACTTGCAGTTCTGGTTGTACCACTTGGGGCCTGCAAGAGCGCTCTTGGACCAGGACATTCCGCATATGGTGCAGCTGGGCCATGTCTCCTGCAAGTAATGGCGGTAGAAGATCCATGAGCCGCAATTCTTTTGGCTGCATGGAAGCACCAAGCGCCACGTGATGTGGTCTGGAAGGTCAATCCAAGGCTTGGGCTTGGGTGTCTCATCCTTGGGCATGGGCGTCGGCTTCGTGGCCTTGGTTGCCTTCATGGCCTTCATGGCCTTCATCGGCATGGCCTTCATCGCTTTCGTGGCCTTCATCGCCTTCATGATGGCCTTCATCGGCATGGCCTTCATCACCTTCATGGCCTTCACTGCCTTCAGGGCCTTCATGGTCTTCATGGGCTGCTGGCCAGCTTTGGTTGGTCCCTTGGCCATGGCTTGGAAGCTGACTGGAAGAGGAGCTAGCTGGCACTGGATCCCAAGTGGCTACACGTATACACTTGCTGCACCAGTGGCATGGAAGCTTGGCGGCTTGATTGCTATGCTATTAGCCTTGTGGCTTGACTTCATGCCCTGTGGCTAGCCTGCAGGCTTGACTTCATGGTGTGTGGAAATAATGTTGCTATGTTGCCTGCTGCCCAAAAGCACATTTTGGGAATCTGATTTTGCAAAGCTGGTGGGCTAGCCAAATGGCTACATCTTGGAGCCATTTTTTTCAAGCCTATCTGGCTGAGAAGGTTTACATCATGTAGTTGAATAGCTAATGTGGAATGGTAGCCATTATTGGCTTGCAAACCTGCTTGACTAAGCTCAAATAGCCAATGTTGGCTTGCAATTGCAGCCCAAGGGCTAGTGCAAGCATGCGACAAGCCATTTGCAGGCTACACCTTGCTTGCTTGCGAAACATTCAAACTTCTATGTGCCAAAGCATAAGCAGAGCAGCACACTGCACGGCCACCATTATGCATGATACAAAAACACAAAATAAAAACACGGAAAGTAAACCCTTTTCTCATTAGAGCCAGCACTTACGTAGCTAGTTAGCAGCACTTACATAGCAAGTTAGCTGGAGTTAGCTAACCTCTAGCTAAGTGGTTAACATAGATAGCTCTGCATGTAGCTAACCACTTAGCTAAGCTTAGATAAAGTATGATAAAAGATGTAACTTTACTAGCACATAGCTTTGGATTTTGCTAAGGTCTAGTAAATGTTACACAGCCTACATCATGTAAGTACCAGCTTCCAACCAAGATACAACCCACTTGCAGGCAGCTTACAAATCCTTATAACAGCACGTGTATGTCCTACGATCTCTAACAAACCCCCGGTGCATCCCAGTGTGCGTGCGTGCGTGCGTGCGTGCGTGTGCGTGCGTGCGTGCGTGCGTGCGTGCGTGCGTGCGTGCGTGCGTGCGTGCGTGCGTGCGTGCGTGCGTGCGTGCGTGTGCGCGTGTGCGCGTGTGCGCGTGTGCGCGTGTGCGCGTGTGCGCGTGTGCGCGTTGTGCGCGTGTGCGCGTGTGCGCGCGTGTGGCGGCGCGTGCGCGCAGCGTGCGCGCGTGCGCGCGCGTGCGTGCGAGTGCGTGCAGTGCGTGCGTGCGTGCGTGCGTGCGTGCGTGCGTGCGTGCGTGCGTGCAGTGCGTGCGTGCGTGCGTGCGTGCGTGCGTGCGTGCGTGCGTGCGTGCGTGCGTGCGTGCGTGCGTGCGTGCGTGCGTTTGCGTGCGTGCGTGCGTGCGTGTGTGCGTGCGTGCGTGCGTGCGTGCGTGCGTGCGTGCGTGCGTGCGTGCGTGCGTGCGTGCGTGCGTGCGTGCGTGCGTGCGTGCGTGCGTGCGTGCGTGCGTGCGTGCGTGCGTGCGTGCGTGCGTGCGTGCGTGCGTGCGTGCGTGCGTGCGTGCGTGCGTGCGTGCGTGCGTGCGTGCGTGCGTGCGTGCGTGCGTGCGTGCGTGCGTGCGTGCGTGCGTGCGTGCGTGCGTGCGTGCGTGCGTGCGTGCGTGCGTGCGTGCGTGCGTGCGTGCGTGCGTGCGTGCGTGCGTGCGTGCGTGCGTGCGTGCGTGCGTGCGTGCGTGCGTGCGTGCGTGCGTGCGTGCGTGCGTGCGTGCGTGCGTGCGTGCGTGCGTGCGTGCGTGCGTGCGTGCGTGTGCGTGCGTGCGTGCGTGCGTGCGTGCGTGCGTGCGTGCGTGCGTGCGTGGCGTGCGTGCGTGCGTGCGTGCGTGCGTGCGTGCGTGCGTGCGTGTGCGTGCGTGCGTGCGTGCGTGCGTGCGTGCGTGCGTGCGTGGTGTGGTGTGTGTGTGGTGTGTGTGTGTGTGTGTGTGTGTGTGTGTGTGTCTGTGTCTGTGTCTGTGTGTCTGTGTGTCTGTGTGTCTGTGTGTCTGTGCGTCTGTGCGTCTGTGCGTCTGTGCGTCTGGGCGTCTGCGCGTCTGGGCGTCTGTGCGTCTGCGCGTCTGCGCGTCTGTGCGTCTGTGCGTCTGTGCGTCTGTGCGTCTGCGCGTCTGTGGGTCTGGGTGTCTGTGTGTCTGTGTGTCTGTGTGTCTGTGTGTCTGTGTGTCTGTGTGTCTGTGTGTCTCTGTGCCTGTGTGTCTGTGTGTCTGTGTGTCTGTGTGTCTGTGTGTCTGTGTGTTTGTGTGTGATTGCTTGTTTGTGTGTTGGATCAACTTCCACTAAGCTGGTCTTTCCAAACAGGGGACTGTTGGCGGGTGGGTATCACCACCACAAACTGACAGGTGCCCAAAATAGAACCTGCGCAACGCCCTTGGGCCTTGGGCCAATCGCAGCTGGAGCTTGGCAGAAGCTGCAGATCGGCGTAGACCTGCCGTGTGTGGGGGGATTCCCGTTTGGGGTGATTCCCGCCAGCGCCGGCTATGCCACGTGGCTGTGGGTCAAAACCAATGGTATCCTTTTGGTAGGTGCGCCACCCATTTGAGTCTATTTCAGTGCCACATGGCTCTCTACACTACCCTTCCCCCCGAACTAACATGGAAGCTCCAGAACGGACCCCGAAATGGAAGACATGGTGACCCATTACAGCATCGGCCTTCTGGGAGCTTCCGGCTGTTAGTCTCAGGGAGTGTCTCACGGGTTACTCCCTTTGTAGTGTCTGATTCTCCGAGGGAAGGCAGGCCGGCGGAGATGTATGGTTGCGTGTCTCATAATTATTGGCAAGGCAAATTTGGGATGGGTTCCCCTTCGCTCGGTTCCCTTCAAGACCACCCAGCAATATCATCACAATGCCGGTGTCTCCAAAAGGGATGGAGAAGAACTAGTTGCGGCTGTGAATCCGCAGGAGCAACTGCCGGTCCTGCCGACTCCTGCCTTCTCCATGTCTTCTGCATGGACTGGGTGAATGAAGATGGTACATTCCCCCGACGCATTGAGCCTCAGCTTCCATGTTGCTGGCGGTGTGCAACCCCGGACTGATTAAAGCACTGCCGCTCGTTTCTCGATTCGATGAGCGAATCGCACTGCTCTCACCGTGTGCGGATGAACATTCCGAATCGGAGCCAACATTAGCTGGAGAGATGAGCTGTACCTCGTGTCAGTGCTGCACCACTTCTGTCTGGGCATAGCTTGGCAGAGGACAGACAATCTCACTTTCAGAAACTGCCAAACAATCAAGCAAACAAGCAACAAAACAAACGTAAAGCAACCTTAACAGGGGAACCCTTGTCAAAACCAGGGACCCCCCAAAAAACACAAAAAACAAAAGAAGAACAGATCCAGAATCCAAACAGACCTGCCATTGCAAAAGTCAAGGCTGGCTCGCTTTTGCGCCAGGGTGATCCCACAAATCACAAGCTTTCCCCCATTTCTCCTTTGGAGGTTCCAGAGGTGGCAATCGTTTCAAGGGAAACCACCAGTAAATTCATCAACATTTGAAGAACATCCAGTGACCCCTGACCGTTTTCCAAGTCTCCCCGTCGGGTCTCCGGCAGCTTCTCTCCGCCCATGACCCGAGCCATGCCCAGGCTGGGCATCTCCTTTGGGCTGACCCCAAGATCCAATCGTTTTTTGTTCATGGACTAGGGGGGTCGAATTGTTCTTCTCATGGTCGAAAAAAAAAAAAAAAAAAAAAAAAAACCTTAAAACAGGTTCCTATATGTTCATCTCTGGCCTCAATATCCAATCTGTTTTTTTCATGGACTAGGGGCATCCATCAGCTTCCCTCTGATTGGTGGTTTGGATTGGTGGTTTGGTGAATACTTTACAAGGAGGGGTCAAATCCCCAAACCACCCACCAATTGGGAGTATCTGTTCATGGTCGGATGTACCCAACAAGCTTCAAAACCAATAGGAAGGTGGCCCAAAAAACGACATCCCAACCATATTGTCTGTCATGTCATGTTGACAATGCTTTTTGGTTGAATAGTTTGACATCAGAAAGCTCAAGCTAGAATTAAACCCTCGTGCCCCATGCCGTGGCCGTTCGCTCGTGCTTCTGCCTTCCGCAACCTCCCTATGGCTGCTTGACGGGAACATTCGCCTCGAATTCCATGTCCCGGAAATTCAGAGACTCGAAAGGTTGATTGGTTCTGATCTGCCCTTCCAGGGGGGACTTGTGTTGAGGGGTTGGGCCCATTTCTTAAGCAAAGGACGCGCTCGTAAGACTTCAGACCCTACGACCCTGCGTTTCCCGTCTCAGGTTGAACCCCCCTCCCCAGGTCAAGGGCGCCCACGGACCCTGTTGGGCCCAACCCCTCAAACCCCCCCCCCGCCCAAGGCTGCCCATGGAATCACCCCTCGTCCTGAACTTGGCCCAGGGAAGACACGATCACCCCGCCGTGCAGCTCCAGGCAGGCCCCGAGGTCCATGTCCTGGCGCAAAGCCGCGTCATGGTCAGCTTGCCCCCCTTTAATCTGGCGGTTTGGATTTCAAGCCCTGGTTCTTGTGGATTTGCATGGAGAAAATCCTCCTTAACCCCCCAAAAATCCAAACCACCAATGAGAGGGAGGCTGATAGTTGTACTGTTGAAATATGTTGAAATATGTTGAAATATGTTGAAATGAATAGAGGTATCCCGAAATTGGTGGCTTTCCTTTTGGTGTCCCTTTCAAACTACCCACAGGATACCCTCAAAAAGGAACAACCCACTTGGTCGTGACTCTGACCGGCACTGGCCAAACGGTTGAATGGGTCTGTGTGGTTTGGAGTTGTTCCCCCTCTGGTTGGTTCAAAGGGAAACCAAAAGAAAACCGAAATCAATCTTTGAGGTATCCCCATTGACACACATGCCCAAATAGCGTCACAGGTCAAACTTTGGTCTAAACTGGAGTAGCTGGGATCCATCTGGAGCTGTGTTGTTACATTTGAAACTGCCCACATGGCTGCTGTGGGTCGAAAAGCAGTTGGCCATTAATTATAGGATCCAACTGCCCCTCCTCCCCTGTATCCCCAGGGGAAGGAAGGAAGGGAGCGGCCCATGGTTTCCAGTCGCTTCTCACTCCTCTCCTGCATTGCGAGACGATCCCCAAAACCAAACCCGTTGAGCTCACAACAGAGATCATGAATGAAAAACGTCTTCAAGTGCGTAGACTGCGTACGGAGAGCCAAGAACTACAAAACAAACACACGGTTCAACTGGGCAACATCAGCCATCGAAAGCACACGGCATGGCCCTCTCTGCGGCCAAAAAGCGCAACACAGGAACCACCCTGAGTGGCATGGACCTTTCGAAAGTTCTCACAGGCGTGTACCATCAATCAAAACCCACTCAATAGCAATCTCCTGGGACTAAATTCCAGAGAACCAATCCACATCTCAAAAGTAGCATCTTGCTCACTGCGAAACGAATGCAGTCAATTGATGTGCGTTGATCTGCGCATTCCTTGGACTCACCAGGCAGACCTGGGGAACTGGTGGCATATTGTTTGCAGGCATCAAGTATGGCCGGGTGTATGTGCTGCAGTTTAAGATAAAACCCGCAAAGTGTGGGGCTCAAATCAAATCTGCTTCTGCCGTGTTCCCTATATGTCGTGTATGCTCAAAGAAAAAAGTCACTCCCAAAGGAATAGGACTTTTTTGCCCTGGCACAAGCTGAAAACCTTCGGAACCCGGTCCTCTGCTCCCTGGCCAAGCCTGCCCGGCGCGACAGCCAGAGTCTCACAATTCCCCGAGAATCTCAATGACCATCTTTGAACTGAATTGGATTTGTCACAAGGTCAGCGGTTCCCCCAGGTTTTGTTTGAGGATGTGCTTCTGGTTTTTGATCGCTGTTGTTTTTGTTGCCTACCATGCTCTGTCCAGCGTTGTCAAGTTTATCTCTTGGGATTTCGCGCAAACTGCCTTCTGGAGACGATGTCATCCAGGCAGGGACGAATCCAATTCCTGGCTGGGTGAAGGGAGCTAAAGCTGGGCCCAATCCAACGCATAACCGCAAGGTTGCGTCGTGTGCCTGTGGTGCCTGCATGTCTGCGAGTCTGCGGCCAAATTGCCTCAACTTGCTCTGCTTTTCCAAGGATCTCCCCTGAACAATTCCACCTGGTGGCTTCCTTCCTTGGCGCCCACGTCACATGAGTCATAAGCAAAACCCGGCAAAGTAAAGAACTAAGAAGGCGGAGATCCGCAGCTACTTATGGTTGGGATTGTCCCTTACTAACCTTCACTTACCCGGGGTTTGATTGTGACTCACAGTGTCTTCTCTTTCACCGGGCCCTTCGTTGGACCTCTGGCGACTGAATCTCGACAGCGTCCTCGCGCGCTTCAGGAGGCCGCCGCTGAAGACCTCGTCTCTCCGTCTCTCCGCTCGCGAGGCTCGAGGGAGCGATTCGTCGAGCAACGTCGATTGGTGGACGGTGGAAGGGGAGCAACAAGTTTCAGATTTTAGCAGCTAAGAAAAAAACACAATCTGAATCTGGCATAATTTTTATTGGTTGGATTTCCACCACGCCACAATAAGCAACAATTTGTGAAATGCTTCCCAACAACAACCATGTACTCTCCCTGAGACTAACAGCCGGAGGCTCCCAGAAGAAAACGGTAAATAACTCACCAAGTTACTGGGGGAGGCTATCCCCGCACGTCTCAGTTGCTCAGAATTCGCAAAAAAAGGAGTGTGAAGGTATTTTTGCCCAAAAGTATGTTTAAAATATGTTCCCCAAGCTTTTTTGTTCCATAATGTTAAATAGTATTCCCAAAAATGGACAAGGCCACGGGAGTGGGGAGACAGACCGCTGCCGGAGTTCGGGCCGACCTGCCTACGAAAAGAAGGGAGCCCTCGGTTCGGGTGGAATTCTTGAAGCAGTCAGTCAAGGCTATTCCAGAAATGGGGTCCCACACAGTTTGACGCATTGTCATACAGCTTAAGTGCTTAAGTTCACAAGTATCCTTTCAGGAGCTCTGTCATGGATGCTAGTAAACATCTACTCTGCAATCTGACCTTGATGCACTCAGATCTGAACTACTGAAAGGGGGCATCGTACTTCGTAAGTGGGTAAGGACCATGATTCTAACCCACTTCTTGACATGGTTATAAGTCATAAGTCTCCCCATAAGGACCCCATCGTCCCTGTAAGTAATGGTTGCCCAAGCTGTAAGCAATGGTTGTCCAAGCTCCTTTTGAATAGGCTGATGGCTGCCACCCAGATTTATGTGCCTTCTAAGAACTGCGGCTTCGACAAACCCTAACCACAGGTCTTGTGTTGGGCGCTTGCGCCCAGTGGCCATATTTTGCTGGCAAGACCCAGAACCAAATACCCTAAAGGAACAAACCAGACCCCAAAAAAATATATATAGTAAAACATTGGTTTATAGAAGGCATTCAACCAATGTTTTCAAAATATGATTACAAAACTATACAACAATAAGTTATATGACATAGTAACCGTATACAATTTTATGTAAAATATGCATTATTAAAAATAATATTAATTTTCTTCAGCGTGTTTAATTTCCAAACTTATTTGATGCTTTCTTGTTTTCCTATGAATGTAAAATGATTTTGGCACATAGAAGAATTACACACATCACAGAAAACAATTTTCATTGAACTTTCTTGATTTTCCGCCAGTTTCTGTTTTCTGTATTCTTCATCTTCTCTAAATCTTCTTCTTTGCTCCTCATTGTATTTTCTTTATGCTTTGCTCTATGATTTACATTATATTCATTACATTTTCTACAACATAATTTATCTTCTTCAAATTCATCTATATTTTTGATTTTTGAGCATTTGCTACAAAATAATTGGTTCATCATTATTTTCCCCCATAATCCTTAATATATATAATACCTGAAATCCTTTAAACAGTTTCTCCTTTAATCAACATTCCTTGAAACTAAATTCCAAAACATATCTCCAAAATTAACCAAAACATTTCACAACATAAATCTTACAATGTTTTTATTGTAGGGTTTATGGGTTAGTTTATTAGACTCAACAATCAGCATTTATTTTCCACCGTTCCCACGTTTTTGGGAGACCTTTCCAACATTATTCAAATCTGGGAGACCCTTCCCACATTTTTCAAAATTGGGGAGACCATTCCCAAGTTTTTGGAGCGACCCACTCGAGGGGTCAATGCGACCCACTCGGAGGGGTCATAATTTTGGATATGCCCCGTATAATTAATAATTTTCAAAATTGTGAATTTCCTTTTTTTACTGTGTTGTCGTTGGATGAACCTGGAAATTTCAAGTTTCAAGCAAAACCCCAAACTCGTTTTCCTTAATCCAACAAACTCACAAAATCTCACAAATCAAATCAGCAGGTATTTTATATAAATATTCCTGTTTATGCTTTACATAATCCTCACACCAATTTTCCGTCTTTCCACTTGGTGCCCGTTGTGCTGTTTCAATATGTTTATTATTCCGGATTTTGCAACAATCCCTGTTACATAATGGTCTAGGTTTCCACACTCCGCGTGTAAAGAGGGTGTCGCCCTGTTTCCAAGTTGTAATGTCAGTCCAGAGCCTAGTTCGGTTCCTGTCATCAAATCCATATTTACAATGGTCTATATTCTTAAAAGCAATTCATTCATAAACTCCTGTTTTTTTTTAAAAAAAATCCGGTTTGTGGATTTTCAATTACATAATATTTTACATTGTAATATCTGATAATTTCAATGGTTCTTAATACTATTTTGTTAGCATGTTCAATATTCCTAACTCCTGTAGTTTTTGCTTTGCAGTATTCTGCGCATGGAGGGGAAGCCCAGATAAATTGAAAATGGTTTCTGTCAAAAGCTTTATAACCCCAACAAGTATATCAGTATTTATATCAGCATTTTTCAAACCTAACAATATTACATTAAAACGTAGCGATTTTGCTATGGCTCCTACACTCTACGTCCCACTAAATAGTTCTAAAAAATTCACATGATTTATTAGAATGGTTTAGATAATGTATTGAAAATATACATATTTGTCCTCTTCCTTAATAATCTTATAGTATTCTAATGTTTGTTCTTTTGGGCTTTTGATTTGACATTTGTTCAGCATATCACAGTATTTCTACGCTTGGTATCATAATCACCGCTAGGACCTTTCTTTTCAAAAATCCTATCCATTTGATCTTTCTCTTCGTTGTTATTCGCGTTCAACTGTTTTAGCATCCAGTTTTTCATCAATTGTTTTAACAATTTCTGACAATGCTTTAACATTCTTACTCATGGTTACAAGCTTTTTCATTAAACCGTTAATGGTAAAATTCTCACTTTCAGACATTATATTGTATATTTATTTGTTTGATTACATATTTAAATACTTATGTATATAACTGATTTAATGCCAAATCTACTCTTTATATACTAACTTGTGTCCCCGTTAAAACTAACATTAATCAGATGTTCATTAGATTCAATAACCATATCACCACCAGTTGTTTTCTTAACATTCAAATCTGTATCTCACCAGTTGTAAGAAAACATGCATGGGACACAACTCACCTTCACACCATCTTTTTTATCTAGCGTCAGTTCATTCTTAACGTGATACATTTATCACATTTTATAGATTTACTTTCACCCATTGCCTTAAAACTTTCGGTTGTTTCTTTCCGTGCTTCAATATCTGGCATTGGTCTTTCTTTGCTTTTGCTCCTTTTTCTTTTTATTAATATTTACATTTCTATTTTTGATATATTGTGTTGCTGTAGGATACATTTCTAAAAGTTTATCCTTATCAACAATTGCCGCGTTTCTTCAATAAAACTCATTAATTCAGATATGGTTTTAATCTGAAAATGTAAAATGAACTGGCATTAACACGAATTATATTGGCGACTGTTTTATATTTTCGAAGACTGCATACGCAACTAATGGCATCATGTCTTCCACGCCTAAATAAGCCATGTAATATTTTTGAATACCTTAACAATTTTGGGTCATCACTGAAGTCATCAATGCAAATCAGTATCGAATATAAGTTTCATTTTATTATTTCTCATAATATGTAATACTTTTCTTTGTGTCTTAATCAGATTTTCTAGTTCTTCCGGATGATACTCATCAAAATACTTTTTCTTTTGTATCATCTACTTTCATTTCTTGTCTTTGGTATTTCTTAACTTCAACGAAAGTGGGGTCAGAAGGACGGGCTGAATATACAAACACGACTCATTCAATTTTTATATACATTCAATATTAAATTTTGGATAAGTGCAGTCGAACTCGCAACAATAATACTTCTAATTGGAATGCTTGGAACGTGTGGGTATTTAGATTTTTTATATTCATGATCAGTTATACTTATTGGCTTTATAATGGGAACTTCAGGCATAACAAGGTAATATTATAAATACTTATAAAACAATAGTTATATCTATTTATTAACTGGAACATCATTTTTATGATATGCTGGTGGCGAAGACCATAAACATGGAACAGGTTTTCCATTTCTTCAACCAATAAGCATTGAAGACAGTTAGTTTAATACAGTGCGGAAAAAACCCATTGCTGAGCTAGCATGCATGAAACAATAAAATTAATTATAATAAGTTATCTTAGTATTTAATATCAATAGGACTTATTCAGATTTTATATAGATATAACAGATGAAGTAGATAAAGTAGAACAAGCTGTAATAACTGACAATAAAATTAGGAAAATGTTGCTATATTCATTAGAACTAATTACGTTAGGACAATAAATCACTCTCCATATTCATTCTTTTTCGCAAATTTAAATTCAAAAGATGTCAGTAGTATGTTTTATATACACTTTCAATCCAAATTTGAAATTAATAGATAAGTAATATTGAATGAAGTGGTGTTACTAAGTGATATTAGGTGAAGTATGGAAAACAAATACCAAAAATGTAAAATTTATAGAGTTGTTGATGTAGGATATGACGAATGTTGCATTGGTAGCACGATTGAACCATTGAGTAACAGAATGGCGAAGAATAGGAATCATTTTAGGGATTATGAAAAAGGGGGGGAGCGAAACTTAATATAAAATGTTTTGATTTATTTGATGAGGTTGGGGTGGAAAACTGTAAAATAGAACTTATCGAAAACTACCCTTGTTCTTCTCATTGCGAACTGGAAAGACGAGAAGGAGAGTACATTAAATCAGCTGAATGTGTACATAGACGGGTTGCTGGAAGAACACACAAACAATATAAAGAAGATAGCAAAAGAACATCTAAAATAAAGTCGGATAATATCATATTGATAATAGAGAAATACAAGAACAATGAAATGGTATTCCTTACAACAATGCAGAACATGTTAGAGAATATAGAACACAAGTCATTAATTGCGAATGTGGGGTTTCTTATACAATGTAAAGTAAGCACGAGCACTTAAAAAGTCAAGGTCGCACAAAATAGATGGAAACTGGTGAAGCTTTTTTTTTAAGTAAGAAACATTGAATGTGACTGTGGAGGGTGTTTTTCTAAGGGTATGAAAGCAAGACATCTAAGAACAGTCAAACATCAAGATTACCTAAATTCATTACAACCAGAAGAAACCCCAGAACAATAACTAATAACATTAATATGTTTAATCTGATTAATTTAAATTAATGAAGCGTTGCAAAATTGCAGAGCAGGAAGTTTCTAAATTAGTTTGTCTGATTTTTCTCTTTCAAGTCTTTCTATACGTGCTACACATGCTTGAATATAGTTAGTTATTAAAGTGTCTGCTTTTGTTTTTCATCTATACTCAGCTTCTTTATTGCCTCCATACTGCTAGTTTCGTTTTTACTTTGACCAATACCCATTATATAGTATTATTTAGATTCTATTAGCTCAACTTCTTTTTCTAATTTTTCAATTTTACCAATTGCTTCCAGTAGTGCTTTATGTCGTAGACACGGCACTTTCGTATAATCAACTCCTAAATATTCACGACTTGTAGCAACGACATTACTTATATCTCTTGGCAATGTTTTGACCATGGAACATTCGGATGCCCGGCTGGCGCCATTGGGCCAAGGCCAAGCGCACAGCGCACATGCAATCATGCAATCGGGTTGTCCTTTCCCCTCTTTTGAGGCTCACCTACAAGGACATCCCTGAAACATTTCGGTCGCGTTCCCTACCATCCCTTAAGGTCCGGGCCAAGTATGAGACAGACCCATTTCTTGCTAAGGAATGAGCGAATGACCCTGGTTCCATCCGCCCCAACCTAGCTGGGCTTCACCATTCACACCTGCTCCGGGTTGTCCAGCGCTCCGTCTTCACCTGCCTTAGCCGCGGCTTCCCAATTAGCTGGGGCTGAGCAGTGGCCCGAAAGCAGTTTTTCCGCCAGGGTTCGGTCTATCGTCTTGCGGGCGGTGAATCAAGGCAGCCAGCAATTTCTCTATGCAAGTTCGCTGCCTAATTTCTTTGCGCAGAGCAGTCTTCCAGCGCAATTAAGTAATTAGTTCTCTGGCCGGGATCTTCGGCGTTACTGCTCTGCGCACACGGCGCAACGCCGACGGCACATTCTCCGCTTGTGGATCTTGCGTCAGTATGTTTCCCAGCAGGGTCCAATGAGAGCTCTGAGCAACCTTCATTGGAATAACCTAGGAGAAGCAGGCCGAGCCACAGAAAGCAACACAACACGTCCGCCATGACCAATGGTCACTGCTCTGGCCTGTGTTCAAATTGCGGGCCAACTCAAGAACCGGCCTCTGCTGGCGCAGCCTCCGCTTTGGGCGCAGCGGCCGTTACCTGCATGTGGCAACTTACGAACAACCTCATGTCTCCAAACAGGAAAGCAGCTAAACAAGCTAAAGAGCCGAGCGTTTCATTGACAAATGGCTGAGTGTGAACTTTCATGGACTACGCGACAACGACTTTCTTGTGCTAAGCTGGCCCTCGTCTCGTGCGCGTGCGCGTTTCACGGACGTCACGCGCGGGCCTGCGCGAGCACTAGAGCTCAAGGCTGAAAGGTGGCCATCGAGCGCAAAACGTGCTACCTGAACAGCTGGGGAAAGTTGTTGTAGACCCATTTCGAGAAACCTGAATGAAGTAGATGGCCATGAATTTCAATGGGGAACACCCTCCAAAATTGCGGGTGGACATAAATCCCCTACATAAATGTTTCCCACCACATCCCCAATTGAGATTACCCAAGCTCAAGGGCCCTGAACCCCGCATTTTCCGGGCTTCGAAAAAACCTGGAAGGACGCCTGCGGGAAAATACCTGATATTCAATTTCACAGACATTCATCTGGAAATGGCCCAAACTGGGACGACAGAGGTTTTGTCGGTACACAAACTCTTCTCTTATGATCACGACTTTGTTTGGATTGAAAAAACGAAAGAACCACTCGAATACCTGCTTGGTGGTAACGCTGGATGTGATCCCTGCCGTCGTCAAGCGCAGCGTGCGGTTTGTAAATCTTACACAACTCCCCCTTATCTGTTCTCTGATTCACAATTTGCAAAGCGAGCTTAGACCTCAGGTTTTGGGGAAGGCAACTTCTCAAGTATCGAAATCCCCGCTCAACCTTTCTCACAGTCTGCGATCCCGCCAGAACGTAACTAAGCACGAGGATCTCCCTTGCCTGATCTTCCTCCAACCAAACCTGAATGGTCTTCCAGTTCCGCTCTGGCACGGACAGAAATGAAAACAAGGGGAGTGCAGGGGGAATGAAAGGGAAACAAAGCACAAGGAAACCAATCGGCACGACGGGAGATGTAGGGAAATGACTCGCAACGAAAGAACGGGACATACATGGAAAATGAAGCGGACATACCGAGAAAATGTCAGGGACATGAAGGGGGAGTTGAAAGGCATGGAAGGGACAGGACCAGGACATCATGGGAAACATGAAAAGGACATGAAGGGGAAATCAAGGGGAAAGCCAGTAGTGAGATGACAGCCCAGGGTCATGCCGGGGCAGTGCCCGGACATCGAGGCAACTCAGGGGGCACGGACATCGAGAGAGAGAACGAGAGAGAGACTGAGAAAGAGAGACACAGAAAGAGCGCGAAAGTGAGAGAGAGAGAGAGAGAGACAGAGAGAAAGAGCGCGAAAGTGAGAGAGTAGAGAGGTTCGAATTAGGGTACCCTTTTTCTGTAGAGGGGCGCGGACAGGAAGGAGACAGGGAGACAGAAAGAGACAGAGAAACAGAGACAGAGAGAGAGAGAGAGAGACAGAGAGAGGGAGATTGAGGAGAGAGAGGCTTGGGGGGATGGGGAGGATGGGGAGCAGAGGGAGGGAGAGAGGACGACAGAACACACGAGGGAGACAAGGGAGAGAGGAAGAAGGATAAAAGGGAGAGGACAATGTCGGCGGACTGAGCCGGAGGCTCTAAAGTTAAATTATTTATTGAAAGTAAAAAATTGAATATTAAAAATACAGTTGGGGATACAGATAATATTATTAAAATGATGTATGAAAGAAGTAAGGAATATCGAATTGTGTCTCATCATCAATTAAATTATTATCCTGAACTTGAATTATAAGTTAGCCCATAAACCCTACACCAACAAAAACATTGTAAGATTTATGTTGTGAAATATGTTGGTTAGGAGATATGATGTTTTGATTTTAGTTTCAAGGAATATTGATTGCAGGAAAAAAACAATTTAAAGGATTGTAGGTAACAATTATGGGAGAAAATCATAATAAAACGAAGATTTGTAGCAAATGCTCAAAAATCAAAAATATAGACGAAATTGAAGAAGGTAAATTATGTTGTAGACAATGTAATGAATATAATGTAATTCATAGAGCAAAGCATAAAGAAAATACAATGAGGAGCAAAGAATAAGATATAGAGAAGATGAAGAATACAAAAAAACTGAAACTGGCAGAAAATCAAGAAAGGTCAATGACAATTGTTTTCTGTGATGTGTGTAATTCGTCTATGTGCCAAAATCATGTCTTTTGTTTTACATTCATAAGAAATCAAAGAAGCATCACATAAATTTGGAAATTAAACAGGCTGAAGCAAATCAATATTATTTTTAATAATACATATTTCCATAAAATTGTATAAGGTTAATATGTAATATAACTTATTGACCTTACATAATATGTGTTGTATATTTTTGTAACAACCCAAAAAAACATTGGTTGAATGCCTTCTACAAACCAATGTTTTACTATTTCCCCCCCGACCCAACCCCCCAACCCCCCCAACCCCCCAACCCCCCCAACCTCCCAACCCCCAACCTCCCGCCCCCAAATCTTCGCCCAGGCCACGATGGAGTTCACCGCAAAGTACTGCCGCACCCCGGAGGTGAGCAGCGTGGACTTCACGGAGCCCAGGTAGTGGCTCTCGGCCCTCGGGAGCCGGAGAGAACACCCGCGAGCCCGGTGAATGGGGGATGGGGCAGAAGGGGGTGCGGGGGTGGATGGGTAGGGGAGGGATGGGGGGAGGGGTTGGGGGGTGGGGTTGGGGGGTGGGTAGGGGGGGGGAGAAGAAAACACCCACTTTTTCCCGTCGCGGAGAAGTGGTCTGGGCAGGAAGGAGAGAAAGAAAACCGTGGGGAGGGGGGGAGGTAGAAAAAGACCACCCCCAAACCACCGGGCTCCACCAAACTCCAAACCAACCAGGTACAAGCTGAGAGAAGTCGTCTGGGAAAGAATGAGAGAAAACCGTGAGGCAGGGGTAGGTTGTTGGGGAGGGGTATGGGTGGGGGGGTGGGTTGGGGGGGTTGGGGGGTTGGGGGGTTGGAGGTTGGATTCTGAACCATCCACAGTATGTCCAGTAGCGATTGTTTCCCTTTACAACCAGAAAATAGACGACACAGTCTTAAATGTTACGAACGTTTCTCCAAGAGGACGCGGGAACATCCGTATGAGGGTGATTGAAGGGTTCTGAGAGGCCTTCTGGTAGTACGGCCCCTTTCTGTCTCTCAGAGGCTCGTCTCTTTTTTTCAGGCTACCCTTCAGGTTTTGAAGAGAACCAAAAGTCAAGACTCTCTGTGCCACGGGATACACACGTGGTCCAGTGGTACGAACACCAGCCACTTGCCCCCCCAATCATAGCTGCTCAAAACTCCTGCAGGTCATGGAGAAAAGCAAATATCTCTCGAAGGCTGATGACCATCCCTACCACTAAGCAGGTCTTTGAGGTTCCGTGGTGTGCCTTGGCCTCGGTTCTATGTTTGTGGGCGGGTTTTTCTGCGGTTCCCTGTAGTTCCGGTCCAACAAAAAAAACGTGGGATAGGTCCGATCAGCTCAAGGACAAAGAACGTGGCTCCCTGGACAAAACTACCACATGAATATGGGTCAAAATTAAACCATCAGGGGACCACGCGTTTCAGTCCTTGTTTCCATTTACCAGGGTTCCGTCTTGGGTACCTGTGACTGGGCGTCTGAAACCACAAAGGCAATGCAGGCAACGTGGTCGAGGTGATCAAGAAAGACAAGTTGATGAACAGTGGGTATCACGTCAGGCGAGGTCCAAATGACCCCTTCAAACGCTCCATGTTCATGGCAACGGAAAGAAACAGCTCAATCCAAAAACGGCAATGGCCAAAGGCTTTGGCGCCCCTTGCAGTACAAACTCCGCTCCGGAACCGTTCCGCCCGACTTTTTGTGCCAAAGGTACGCGGTGAAGTAGCGGGTGAGCCGCTGCTTTAAGGCCCGGAGGTTCACAAAGGTGTCAGCGTCCACCTGAAACACGTGCCACTGCCACTGGGGCAGGGGGTGGCGTTGGGGTCGGGGTGTGTTGGGGGGGTGTTCGGCGGGGTTGGCACGTCGGCCAATGTGCTTGAAACTGGGGGGCCCCCGTTTTAGAAAGGAACGCAAAACCGGCATAAAACAGGCATGCCCTCGTTTACCTGGCTCGCTGCTCGCATTTGTGGAACACGTGGGAAATCCAAAACATGTTCATCCCCACTTGGAGGAAGTTGCGTGGACCGCGGTCATGGGTCTACACCTGAAGTACGATTCTAGTTGCCAGCTCATCTCATGGACAGTAAGGGGAAGCTGGTCCAACCAACTCAGATTTTTTGAGTCAGGGGAAGCTGGTCCAACCAACTCAGATTTTTTGAGTCAGGGGAAGCTGGTCCAACCAACTCAGATTTTTTGAGTCAGGGGAAGCTGGTCCAACCAACTCAGATTTTTCGAGTCAGGGGAAGCTGGTCCAACCAACTCAGATTTTTCGAGTCAGGGGAAGCTGGACTCAGATTTTTTGAGTCAGGGGAAGCTGGTCCAACCAACTCAGATGTTTTGAGTCAGGGGAAGCTGGTCCAACAAACTCAGATTTTTTGAGTCAGGGGAAGCTGGTCCAACCAACTCAGATTTTTTGAGTCAGGGGAAGCTGGTCCAACCAACTCAGATTTTTCGAGTCAGGGGAAGCTGGTCCAACCAACTCAGATTTTTTGAGTCAGGGGAAGCTGGTCCAACAAACTCAGACTTTTTGAGTCAGGGGAAGCTGGTCCAACAAACTCAGATTTTTTGAGTCAGGGGAAGCTGGTCCAACCAACTCAGATATTTTGAGTCAGGGGAAGCTGGTCCAACCAACTCAGATTTTTTGAGTCAGGGGAAGCTGGTCCAACCAACTCAGATTGTTTGAGTCAGGGGAAGCTGGTCCAACAAACTCATATTTATTGAGTCAGGGGAAGCTGGTCCAACAAACTCAGATTTTTCGAGTCAGGGGAAGCTGGTCCAACCAACTCAGACTTTTTGAGTCAGGGGAAGCTGGTCCAACAAACTCAGATTTTTTGAGTCAGGGGAAGCTGGTCCAACAAACTCAGATATTTTGAGTCAGGGGAAGCTGGTCCAACAAACTCAGTTTTTTTGAGTCAGGGGAAGCTGGTCCAACAAACTCAGATTTTTGAGACAGGGGAAGCTGTTCCAACAAACTCAGATATTTTGAGTCAGGGGAAGCTGGTCCAACCAACTCAGATTTTTTGAGTCAGGGGAAGCTGGTCCAACAAACTCAGACTTTTTGAGTCAGGGGAAGCTGGTCCAACCAACTCAGATTTTTTTGAGTCAGGGGAACCTGTCCAACAAACTCAGATTGTTTGAGTCAGGGGAAGCTGGTCCAACAAACTCAGACTTTTTGAGTCAGGGGAAGCTGTTCCAACAAACTCAGATTTTTCGAGTCAGGGGAAGCTGGTCCAACAAACTCAGATTGTTTGAGTCAGGGGAAGCTGTTCCAACAAACTCAGATTTTTCGAGTCAGGGGAGGTCCAACCAACTCAGATTTTTGAGTCAGGGGAAGCTGGTCCAACAAACTCAGATTTGTTCAGTCAGGGGAAGCTGTTCCAACAAACTCAGATTTGTTTGAGTCAGGGGAAGCTGGTCCAACCAACTCAGAATTTTCGAGTCAGGGGAAGCTGGTCCAACAAACTCATTTTTTTTGAGTCAGGGGAAGCTGTTCCAACAAACTCAGATATTTTGAGTCAGGGGAAGCTGGTCCAACCAACTCAGACTTTTTGAGTCAGGGGAAGCTGGTCCAACAAACTCAGACTTTTTGAGTCAGGGGAAGCTGGTCCAACCAACTCAGAATTTTTGAGTCAGGGGAAGCTGGTCCAACCAACTCAGACTGTTTGAGTCAGGGGAAGCTGTTCCAACAAACTCAGATATTTTGAGTCGGGGGAAGCTGGTCCAACCAACTCAGATTTTTTGAGTCAGGGGAAGCTGGTCCAACAAACTCAGATTTTTCGAGTCAGGGGAAGCTGGTCCAACAAACTCAGATTTTGTTTGAGTCAGGGGAAGCTGGTCCAATGAACTCAGATTTTTCGAGTCAGGGGAGGTCCAACCAACTCAGATTTTTGAGTCAGGGGAAGCTGGTCCAACAAACTCAGATTTTTTCAGTCAGGGGAAGCTGTTCCAACAAACTCAGATTTTTCGAGTCAGGGGAAGCTGGTCCAACCAACTCAGATTGTTTGAGTCAGGGGAAGCTGGTCCAACAAACACAGATTTTTCGAGTCAGGGGAAGCTGGTCCAACCAACTCAGATTTTTCGAGTCAGGGGAAGCTAGTCCAACCATCTCAGATCTTTTGAGTCAGGGGAAGCTGGTCCAACCAACTCAGATTTTTTGAGTCAGGGGAAGCTAGTCCAACCAACTCAGATTTTTCGAGTCAGGGGAAGCTAGTCCAACCATCTCAGATCTCTTGAGTCAGGGGAAGCTGGTCCAACCAACTCAGATTTTTTGAGTCAGGGGAAGCTGGTCCAACCAACTCAGATTTTTTGAGTCAGGGGAAGCTGGTCCAACCAACTCAGATTTTTCGTGTCAGGGGAAGCTGGTCCAACCAACTCAGATTTTTCGAGTCAGGGGAAGCTAGTCCAACCATCTCAGATCTCTTGAGTCAGGGGAAGCTGGTCCAACCAACTCAGATTTTTTGAGTCAGGGGAAGCTGGTCCAACCAACTCAGATTTTTTGAGTCAGGGGAAGCTGGTCCAACCAACTCAGATTTTTCGTGTCAGGGGAAGCTGGTCCAACCAACTCAGATTGTTTGAGTACTTGGAACACGCGCTCCCCAAATCAATCGGCACTCAAAAAACAGCACTCCGATGCATCCAACTGTCCGATGCATCCCTAGGGACTCGAGGCCGGCCTTTGCGAACCACTGGCAGTCTGAAGCGTGATGCTCCTTGGTCCGAGCCCAAAGTTGTGTGAGACTCCGACTCTCTCCGTCGGCACACAGAATTCCCTGGATCGCCAGTTGCGATCGCTTTCTTCCATGCACTTTACCCCAAAAACCGATCGCAACGGTGACTGAAACAAGTCATCGCAACTTGGGTATCTAGGTCCCCAGGCTTGAACTGATGCCCATTATTCTTTAATGGTGGTTGGAACCTCAGGGAGAATGAGTTAGCACCTATGTTCACAAGCGGTCGCCGGGAACCATCGAGACGTCCGAGATGCGGCCAGGTAGATCCAAAGATAGAAGACTCGGACCTCGGTGTTCTCGGAATCGGCTGCCGACGACCGGGAGTCGGGGGGGGGCACCAAATGGCGGGCTTGCTGGGCGGGCAACAACCAGCTTCCATTTGGTTAAGACCCCTGGAAAAATTATAAACATGTGTCATAGATTCCGTTAAAAACCAACAGCGGAAAAGAACAAAATACTCGTTTCAGCCAATGGAAGCCAGGCTTCGAGATCCCACATCCGCCAATTTGGCTTACCCTCCCCCAGGCGATTCCATGGAAGCTCCCAGGAATTTCTTGGAGGACTTGGTTCCATTTACAGAGGCCTTTTGGGAGCTTCCATGTTAGTCTGAGGGTGTGTATCACCTCAGATGCCCAGTGACCATGGGAAGAAAAAAGGCATTTGGTCGACCACTGAGCAAGTGGGTCACGGCTGCTCCCTTCTTTCCAGCGTCTAATTCTCTGTTCAAGGCCGATACCCACTTCATCCAAGAATCCGGATTGTAGAGGTAGCCCAGGTCAACATCCCCACGCAGCGTGAGGATGTTGGCGTCTCCTTCACCTGGAACTCTCCCAAACCTGCAGCCTACGGCAGTCCTTTGAGCAAAGTACTTCACCCTGTTGTGGGTTCGGTTTGGGAAACCCGAACGATTTCAACCAAAAGGCGCGGAAGAAAAAAGAGAGAGTCGAAAGATCTCACATGGCGACGTGGAGAATCCCGCTGGTGTCTTTCGCCTCCGCAAGTTCGCTGCCCTTCCCGGCCTAGCTCCGCATCAGGCCAACTCCGGTCCTTCATCATGAAGACCTTCACACCTGGCAGCGAAAACGTGAAGGCCCGGAGAGTCTCAGCTTCAGACGGTGATCACCTCTTGGGGCCAATGGGTAGCCTCACTCAGACTAACATGGCGGCTATGGGCAGGTATCCGGAAGATGAATCTTCTTTTGAAGGAGCCCCCTGTTAGGCGCCATGGTAGCCTCCTGTTAGTGGATGGGAGGGTACCAAAATGGGGGAAACCATTTTAGTTTCGATCGGTCCGATCTGGCCGCTTTGGGCGACTGAGTACCAGGACATTGAAGAGCCTCTTGACCGCCTCGGTGGCCCTTTAAAGTCAACCTAAATCGAGCATTGAAAAAAGAGCCCTGCGTTTTGACATGCAGCTAGCAAATCTTCCAGGCCATGATTGGAGCAAGACAAGTCTCGACAGACCTAACCAGACCAAAGCCTGGCTACAAGAGCCGGCAAGTAAGAAGCAATGACGCAAAAAGCCAAGCCAAGCCCGCTGATGCTGTTGCCAAAGCCAGTGCTCAGCCTTGTGTCGAGGCTTTGGGGACCGAGGGTGGTGAGTCGACATGTCTTGCTGAAATAGAGATGGCGCATGCTTTGGTACAGCTACTGTCCTCTCGGGTTGGCCACGCCTAGTGTCAGGAGCCATCTATTTGAGGGGTTGCAAAGAAATTCAGCATCCACGCACTCATGTCGTTTGAATGCCTTTTTATATTAACGCGCCCGCAACAGCAAAGCAACTTCCGCAAACAAAGAAACAACCTGAGCCCCGTGTAATGAGTTGTGCCTAGGGCACCAGCTACATTCACAGTGGCTTACGGCTGCATCTTCCCCACATTCCGGGCCGTACATCTGGGTTCCATCCCAGCACGACACAAGTGAAACACGTCGGCTGGTAAAAAGGCTTCAACCAAAGCCCATGGGTCAAACCCAAATCGGTTACCCCCCAGTGAACATCCCAATCCAACCACTAAAATAGGTTCTAAAATGGGTGGTGAATTCACCTACCCCAAAATGGGATCCATTGGTTTTGACCCACAGCCAGATTGCCTCCAGAGCAACCTCTCACCCGCGCCTGCCACTTGCTCGTTCGCCCAGGTCTTGAACACGGCACGGGCCTGACGCACGTGGCAAGGGATCCAACCCCAGCGGTCCAAGAGTACACGTTCCGCATACAGTACTGGTGTTTAGTAGGAATAAGGGGAGTGCCCCTCACCGACCTGTCGCTACACAAATCCAAAGAGAATCGAGCGGGGGACAAACAAGCCGTAGACCGAACATGCTCTTCCCAACGGCAGGTGCCGGAAGGCACCTGTAACGTCCCCAAGCCATCCAATCACGAATACCTAGCCGGGAGCACAGCAAAATGCCAGTGGCTGCAAGCCGGCGGCTGGCCGGTTTCCCCGCTTCCTTCGTGAAACCGCACTCTTGCCCACTTGCATTCGTCAATGCCCGGCCCCCGTTTGGCGCCCGGTGCGCCAATCATTTGCACCGTGAATCCAACCATTTGGAAAGCCAACGGACCCCAGCGCCGTCACAAACTTTCTGTTTTGGCCGTTGATTTCGTGTTTTTGTCGTCCCTTTTTATAAATTAATAAAGTAGTCGTGGTAACGTCTGCATCCTCCCTGGGTCCCTACAACGCAGTTTTTGTCGTCCCTTTTATAAAGTAATTAGTCGTGGTCGCGTCTGCATCCTAGGACGCATGCCACAAACTCATCTGCTGTCTGCCACTGAGTCTCCCAGCATCTGCACGGTGCTTCTCTGAAAAGCCCGTGGTGACAACAAAGACCTCGCCCGACAATGACTCGGACTGGACAAATGGCTGTGAGACAATCATGGGTATCCAAAATGGAAACCTGGCAAATGAAACCAAGGTCTGCAACCTGCGGTCCCCTGGTGGTTTAATTTTGACCCATACCCAAATGGGTTGTCAGAATTGGGGGCCCTTTCTTAGTATCCCCTTTTTGAGGCACAAGACGGGACCACCGTCCAGCAAGGGGCCATAGTTTCCCGAATGCGTAGCAGAAGGGTTCTTGTTGTAGACTCACTTGGCCAGTGACCAGCCAAAACAAAGTGCACACTTTTTGGGCCACCACTAAAATAAAGGGAGAGCCACCAAGGAAAAAAGTGTCAAGTGCGCCCACTGGCTGGGTGAGTAGAAAGGGGTCTGGGTCCACATTGGTTCGCGCGCAAGTCTTCGCAAGCGTTCGCAGGTGGCAAAAGTTGCTGCGCTGTTGAGGGAAGGCTCAGAATGTGCGATTTGTGTGACTTGCAACACCTTGTTTTCGTTTCGCCCTGTCGTAGCTCTTGCGACGTTGCGCGTTGTTTCGCTGTGCAGGCTCAGTATTTTGGAAGGTTGCGCATTTAAGTCGCCGTGCCGTGGTCGGCTTGAGGTGTCAAAATCGGTCGAAATCATTCTGGCGCCGCAGTCCCGAATTCCTGACACGCGTCGTAAACGTGTCAAAGTTGCACTTCCTGACACAAGCGCAGTACTTTGGGCGCGCTCTTTGCGTCAGACGCTCCCTTTGCTTGACAGGCGCAGCACATTAGAGCGCTGTGATCAAATTTCCTAGCAGGCGCAGCACTTTGGAGCACGTCTCTCCGGATGCGCTGTAAATCTAATCGGCCCCTCACAGGTCTATGAGCTAGCATTCGAATTTCGAGGGCCCACGGTGTTTAACCTGCGCTGGCCCCAAAGGAAGCAGACAGACCCCATGCAGCAAGAAAACGCGTCTCTTTTGAGAAAGGCAGTTCCACGCCAGTGGGGGGATGCCCCCCAAACAAAGACGAGCCACCAAACCCACACCCCCAAGCAAACATAGGTGGCCTTTTGGAAAAACAGATGAGTTTCCCTGGTAAATGGAAGAAACCCCACCTACACAAGTGGCTTGCTCAAACTAACCTAAATTCAAGGATCCTTACATTACACCTGAACATTGCAACTTGTAAATGGTGGTAAACCCTTTTATTTTGGTGTTGAAAAAGCAACATGGAGGCCTAAAAAGGACCCCAGCCCCAAGCAAACCGAAGCGAAGCCCAACGGATCGATCCCGAACTCATCGAGGCTCTCACGCAGAGCTCATGGCCGCCCGCCCCCAGGCGCTGAAAGGCTGGGGAGCGGCCCTTGAGCGGCCTCTGCCACTCCTAATTGAGGGTTTAGGGTTTAGGGTAGTATTCTAGTAAGCAGCCCTGGGTTCTAGATGGTTCTAGTATTCTAGTAAGCCCTCTCTAGTAAGCCCTCAACTTGAAAGGCAGGGAACCCTCACGGAGAATTGGTTGGGGAATCTATTTAAACCAGCCAGCTTTTCACCAACCACCAATACAAGCCACCCGTTTCCCCAGCATCCCTGGGCCCGTTTTCAGATCCCCCCACGAAAAGTGGAAATGGAAACTACCACTTAACACTAACAGGATCCAAAAATCTTTCTGGAACCGGATGGCGGGGAACCCTCAGCTTGAATTGGTTTGTCACCTGGTAAGTTTCTTTCCCCGTGTTTGAGTCAAAATCCGCCGCAGGGCCGCAGGCTCCACTGCTGGTGGTGGACCTTCCGTCAATTCCTTCAAGTTTCCGCCTTGCGACCATGGTGGTTCGAAGCTTTGGGTTCTAGTGGGTGGATTGCTAGCTTTTCACCCCCAAACCACCAATACAAGCCAGCCTTTTTGAGAAACCCGGCATCAAAATGGTTGTAATCCCAGAACCATGTAAAGAATGAAGAAGGCGGATATCCACAGCTACTTATGGTCTTACTAGCCTTCAACTACCCGGGTTTCGATTGTGGCTCACTTGGTGAATACAAGCCACCCTTTTTAAGGGATAAGCTGAGCGGTCAGCGTCAGAACAAGGAACCAGATCCCATGGAGAGAGGGTAAATGAAAAACGTTCTTACACCGGCAAGCCACCGATCCGGCTCCAAACCAACTGGGATGTTCATACGGGTCCGTCTTTTTTGAGTTACTCCAACTTTTTGCTGATGAAGTGCGATAATTAAAATACGTAGGGAATGAGGAATGAGCCGTTTCGGGGTCCCTGAATAAAGGAATCCACCATTTGGATGGTTTATAAGGCTGTGTGTGTGTGTGTGCCCTCTTGGGTTTGTCTCAAAAACTGGTGGGTTTCCTTTTACCCGATACAACCACTCCCCCAAACTGGTACCGTCAAAAAAAGGCACACCCTTTTATAGAGGGTCCCCCGTTTACAAAGGGTGCCTTTTTTGAGAGGGCTGTTGTTTTCAGAGGTTTGTTGTAATAGAGGTTGCCGTTTTTCAGTACAGTACGCCCTTTCAAAGGGTTCTTTGTTCCTTGACGCCCGGGCCTTTCATTGGCGTCCTTTCTTTTGGGACAAGGGTGTCGCTTATGTCTAACAACTTGTCACAAGAAGGCGACCAGGCTTGGGCAACGTTGTACGAGCTTTGAAGATCGGTGGACACCATCGAGGGTGAGCGTCTTTGTCATTCCTTGTCCACCCAATTCGGGAGCTGAGCTCCTAAAAGTTCAAACAACCCGAAGCTCAACATGAGGTTGGCGCCAACCCCTAGTCGAAACCTGAGTGGCCGGCCAGAAAAGAAAAGACGCCAGCGACCCCAAGCCAAACATCCCTGTCCCCGCTTAAGCCAAACCTAAAGCAACACAACACCAATCCCAGCGCTCTGACTGAACTCGAGAATCGCTCTGCCAATGCAGAACTCTGGGCGACGAAACTCAGTTTGACCCAGCCCATGGAATTGAGAGGCGTTGCCTGACCCACGTGTCAACTTGCGGAGCGGATGCTCCTAGCTTTTCTGGAAGAACCAAAGCTCATACAATTGGTGTCCCCAAAAAGGGCTGTTGACTCACTGACATGCTTCGTTGCAACCAGCATGGCACATTGTAGTTATCCAAACCCTACAAACTCGATCTGATCGTCCCCCTGAATCATTCCCGTGCTCAGATATTTTGCGCTGATTATTGCCAGCCCCACATCCCTCTCTCGATCAAACACCAACTCATGTCTTTCCTCCACTGCAACAGATCTGCGGGTACAAGCTGCGTGTCCAAACAATTTGCGCTGTTCCCAGCAAGCCTGCGAAAAATGCCGGGGCATTATGGCGGTCCTTGGCAAGCTCTGTTGGTGAAGCGATCTGCGGCTCGTTGAGAGGCTGACCTGTGTTCAGACGGCGATTGCAATCGTGCCTCCCTTCTTTTGAAGGGCAATGTCGGTACCCGACATGATCAAACGGTACTAATTGGGGCAAACATAATCCCCAAAAACAATTTATCGGCCCCACAAAAAGGTGATGGTTACTCAATACAGAGAAGTTGCTCTCACACTGGAAAACAGCAACTTCGCTCGAAGCCCAGCTACAGCCAAGCCCCTCACACTCAGAGGCGTCCAATTCAGAAACGAAATTTCCCAGCAAAAGGGTAAGCAATACTGAACCAATACTAAAGCGATACTAAGCCAACATACACACCAATACTAACATGCATGGAGGGAGGGAGGGAGGGAGGGAGGGAGGGAGGGAGGGATGGATGGATGGATCTGCAGGGCTCTGCGGGCCAACGGAAACCGTCCCTCCTGCCATCGCAGAGCAGCGTCATGGCCCACCCTCCGGTTGGAGTTCCCTGCCCGGACTGATACTAACATAATCATGTACCAGTTCTAAACGGCACTAAGGCATCACTAAGCGATGCTAAACCAAGACTAAACTGATACTAACCCGTACTCCGTAGTACTCAGTCAAAGACTACTTGGGTCTGACCCCTAAATTGTTTTAGTGAGCTTCCTCTATTCAGTCCCTCCAAATTGCTTTGGGGGGATGGCTCGTTCTGTACCAGTGACCCATTGTTCACCACGTTGCGTTAGCATTGGCACCAGACCGATCTAACCTGCAAGATTTCGAGGGGCCACTTTTGAGATGAGGCAGTTTCAAATCAGGCAAGCTAGCAACTTTTCCGATAAACATCTCACAAGACGCCAAGGAACCCAATAACCACCTCCATTTGCGCTAAAGTCCCCTGGAAAATAATATTAAAAAAAATGTGTCCAGTGGTGAAATCGATTCCCTTTAAAACCACCAGAGGGAAATGAAGAAACATATTCAGCAAATGGAAGACTAGGGAGGCCCGTCTTGGGGTTCTCCAAAACGACCCACGACTCCCCCCGCCCGAGAAACGCCCAGCGGCCATCGCTCCAATCCCGCTGCCACCGCTCGAAGGCGCGCAAGAGGAAGCAGCCCTGGCCGCGACTTTTTTGAGGGTACCCCTTTGTGGTGGTTTCAAGGGAACGCAAAAGAAACCAAGACAAAACCACTATCTTGGGAGGTTCCTAAAAAATGAAAACCCATGTAATAACTCAGTAATAACCACTATGATCACTATATGTAACTATGTGGCGGTTCGCTAAAAAAAACAGACCCATGTAATTTCCTTGTGTCAGAAAACGGGGAGCCAGCTATTGTTGTTGATCTCATTGTTGAGGTGTTCTTGCTGCTGCTACTGCTGCTGCCAAAGCAAAATCATTCCGCGAGCAAAGCACCATGTCAATATGCAACTCTCCGCGGATTCATATGGGAAAGTCAAAATGGGCCATGATTGAAAGACATCGAATCATGAGCGTGACTGCCGAAGTAGGAACACTTGCAACGTCTGTCCTTTGTCACTACTATTCAAGCGTCGAGGACCATCCCAACTAAACCCATGACACAAATGTCTGGTTGAGGGCGAGCCGGGTTGCTTTGCTCATCCATCTCGAATCGATTTCGCTCCAGCACTTTGCCCCACACAAAAGGGGCTGCTACTTTCGTATCCACTCAGCGGGACTCCTTGTCGCCCCAAAAAATCCCTCACGCTCATTGCGATCTGGGTGAATTACAATATTTCACCAACCTGAAATAAGGTGGTTTGGGGGCTATTCCCCACAGAAACCACCATTCGGCTGTGGGTCAAAAATAGCTACCCAAATGGCACCCTGATAAATGGAAACAATGACTTAAACCTGCCCAATTCCTGGTGGTTTAATTTTGACCCCTACCCATTTGGGCCGAATTCGGTCCTGTGAGGTCGTTATCTTGGTTGCTGTTGCTATAATTCACCCAGACCCATTCCTGGTCTAATTTTGACCCATACCAGAGAAACCACCATTTGGGGGCGAAATTCGGTCGTGTTTTGGGTCGTTAAACAAAACAACAAAATTTCACCCCGACCGCCGTCGCCGCCTGCAGCGCCGGCAGAATCTTCGGGTCGAAGACCGCGCGCCCCTCCTCGGGCTTTGCCAGGCCGTCGCTGGAGCAAGCCTAGCGAGACGGACTGGGCGGTGGGCGGTCCGTGTTCGGATCCCCGGCTAAAATTGCGACGAATCTTGAGTGGAAGTGGAAACCACGAAACCTCTGGCCGTTTTCGGATCCCCTAAAATGTGCGACGAACTTTTGGTGGGTTCAGTGGACTACCACTCAATTCCTTAAAAGTCTAAAAGCCTAAGGGCACAACTGGGAACCTGCCAAGTGGAATCCGTACTAAACTCGCGAGGAGTGCATGGAATACCAACGAAACTTGGTTGCTTTCAGGACATGAATCACAATCAAACCTGGTGCCGTTGCGCACCAGTTTATGGTTGGGATTTTGGAGGGGAGTCCAACCGTATCCAGATTCCATTTCCCTGATAGTAGGTCACCAAGGGAGCACCCAACATAAAAGCTAAGAGGACAACATGTTGCCTACCGACTCTCGGTGGACTGGGCTGATCCCCTGCTAAAAGTGACTAACTTTTCGTGGGTTAAGTGGAGACTACCACTAAATTCCTTAAAAGTCTAAAAGCCTAAGGCTAGGCACAACTGGGAACCGCCAAGTGGAATACGGACTAAACTAAGTCTAACAAAAACTGCAAAGAAATGTTCAACCACCGTGTCTTGGCCCTTTGTTTGTCTTAGATGGCTTCTTGGCAATGAAAGCTGTGGCGTTTCACGGTGTTCTCCCGGGCTCAGTATTGATATCCCAAAGCGGGGCTTTCGAATGGTAGGGAAACGAGGATCAGCCAAGTTTGGGGGTTGATCGAGAGATACCTTTGCCGAGAGGCCCTTTCGGTGTTTTGGTTTTTCGGGCCAGGAGGTAAGAGGTCTTGCCAAAGTTTCAAGTAGATAGGCCATACGGGATGCTGGAGCTAGGGAGGAATTCCCAATGTACATGTCCTATGGTCACATTCTAAAAAGGGCTCAGACTCGCTAGCTTGCTTGTCCCTCGTATCTGTGTGTCCCCTAAATTCAACCCCAATAAAATAATGGTTGAATCCAATTTGGATGATGAAACTCCTTAGGAACATAGTGGTGGGTATATAAACTCCTTTGATTTCATGGTGTTTTGACAGGGTGTCTGTGTGTCTGCCCGTCGTGTCTTCTTGGGGGTAGTGGGAACCCGGATGCAAGCCTTCGCTTGGGACCACCAAGCGAATTCAACAAGGGCGTCTCTATGGGGGTCATTGCCCCCAATGAGGGCAAAAACATCCGCTGTGGATGGTTGCGAAATCCGGTCGCACCACTTTGAAACCATGTGTGAAACAATATAACCTTTCTTGGCATTTACGTTGGGGAATCCAATCAGAAATTCCGCGGTTTTGGAGAACGGTGCTGCGAAACACCGAATTCGCAACCATCCGCAATATTTTGAGAGGGGGGGTCACTCCGGGACGCCAGGCGGGTGCGGCTTTTTTCTTGGGGACCCCTCCAAATGGCTTGCGTTTTTCCTCTTGGTTTCCCTGTAAAACGTCATTAGTTTGATGGTTTCTGAAAATTATCAAAGTCAGAAGATGGGGCTGCTTCCCTTTAACCCACCACTTCTTGGTTGCTGTTGACCCCCCTGCAAACAGTTGTTTTTGGGATTTGTGGAAAACACCTCTATTTCGCAAAAAGTTAAAGTCCAAAGATCCAACCCAATAGCAGTCAAGACTTAGGGGGTGACTTTGAGCATGACAAAGTAATGAGGCCACAGGGGCCGGCCTCAAAAAGATGCCCAGCCGCCCAGGCGGATTTTCGTTTTTCCTCCGAGGCGCCACCCCCTTGAACCATCGCTCGCTCCTGCCGCGCATGTAGTGGATATCCTCCATCTCCTCCGGCCAAATGCATCCTATGGTCAAGCCCCTCCCGCAATAGGGTCTGGGGCATTTTTGCGAAGGCGATTTCTTGGGTTGGCAGGGTTTGTGGTGGGTGCCTTTTTTGGGGTCCACTCTTTGGGGCGACATGGGGCAAGTTGACACCATGGATCTGGGCTTCCCATCGTGGGCCAAACTCAGATGGCCTGCTTGCTCGTCTTCTTCAGAGTTGGTGCCCTTTGTGGGGCTGGTTGAAAGGGGACACCACAAGGAACACCGAAGCCATTTTGGGGGGGTCCCCCAAGTCAAATTCCTCACCCGCGAAAAGGGCGGCTCGTCTTTTCAAGAGTTGGAACCCTCTCACCAACCAACGTGGAAGTGCACAGACCCCTGTAGAAAGACCACTTTCCTCTTGGAAAGGGGGTCTGTGCACTTCCATATTACGCGGGAGAGTACCCTTTCTGGGGCTGGTTTCAAGGGAACACCACAAACCGATGCCATTTTGAAGGGGTCCCCCAAGTCAAATTCCTCACCCACGCTAAGGACGCCTGAAGAATAGCATCAAAGGCTCATGAGGACCATGAGCATCAGGATTTGTCTTCTTTCCTGGTCTTATGGATTCTCTGTCATTGACGGTTATCTGTAAAATCCTGATTCATAGACAGGTTACACAAGTTAATGAAAGTTGATGAGGAACAGGATTAACAGGTGAGATGGAGTGAGTGAATGCAGTGAATGAACGGTCACATCTCTCTCCCTTTCCTTTCCTTTGCTTTCCTATGCCTTCTACAGAAGCAGGAAAGGGAAAGGAAGGGGATGGCCCGCCGTGAAGCGAGGAGGCGGGAGATAATGATGGATGGGATCGCTTCCTTCGGTCCCATCTGTGGTTGACTGCTAACTTCTGAATCTTGGATGAGTCTCTAGGAGACGGCTTGACAAGGAATAAATCTTTTAACCTCAGGCACTTTCCAGGATTTAATGGTTTACAAGAAAGAAATATTGTTAATGGAAATAATGTATGCTTTTCTATCTCTTTCTTATTGTCTTTATATTTTCATTTTATTATTTACTGTAAATATATGAATCTTGATCACATACAAATTCTCTATCTTATGGTCTATATTTTCTGTATCTTCATCTCTTAATTTGGATATCATGTCATAATATAACTTTAGAATGTGTTTATGTTAATTGTTAGGAACAAAACAAAAAACATTCTTGAAGATATGAAGATACACATAAAGATAATATAAAAGAAACAATATAAAATGTAATAAAAGAGTAAAAGAAATAATAAAAACAAAAAGACAAATACATATTAGAAGACTAGACACATAAATAACCATAAGATTTCTATAAAATGCATTTGGTGTCTTAAGGAATCTCACCTCTCTATCCGTTCGGTTCCTGGAGAGCCTAAGTGAGTCACGTGCTTGAACGGGAATGAATCCCTTGGTCTTTAGGTGACAGCGAACACAGAGAGCTGGAGCGGATTCAAGTTGATGACGGAGGAAGATAGTGAATCCTGTCGGTTTACGAGATAACGGTTGTAAAAGCATTTAAGAGATGAATGATGGTGATGCCAAGCCTTTGTTGTGTGGCTTGGGTAAGTTGTAAGTGATGGAAGGAATGGACATAGATGTCTTCTTTCCTGGTCTTATGGATTCTCTGTCCTTGACGGTGAGGGATGAGCCGATGACAGAGATTAAGAGATGAATGATGGTGATGCCAAGCCTTTGTTGTGTGGCTTGGGTAAGTTGTAAGTGATGGAAGGAATGGAAATAGATAGAAGTGAGTGATAGGTGGGACGGTGAGAAGAGAAGAGACTCACCTTAGTCCCACTCCATCCCCTTCCTTTCCCTTTCCTGCTTCTGGAGAAGGCATAGGAAAGCAAAGAAAAGGAAAGGGAGAGAGATGTGACCGTTCATTCACTGCATTCACTCACTCCTCCCGCCACAAAGAGAAGGCGGGACACACTGTAAAACCATTCAATCCTAACCACAAATCCATTAAAATCTAGACTTATAGTATTTCTACTTTATTATTGATTGCAAACTTTAGAATGTTGGAAATTCATATATTTTATAATCTACAACTTTATCATTGGCATTTTATAGAAATATTATGCTCGGATCTAGACTGTAGGGACTTGTGAGGGACTTGTATAAACACTCAGGCGAAAGAAAAAAAGAAAAACGCCACTGAATGGTCCCTGTTCTCCGAATGGTGAAAGAACTTTGTCTGTGCCACTCCACGCGTGAATCCATTCACGCACAGCAGGGATCCTTACATTATACACCTGAACATTGCCTTGTAAATGGTGGTTTCTCTTTATTTTGGTGTTGAAAAAGCCACATGTTTCAAAAGGTTGCAAAATGAGTTCCTTTTAAGGAGCCCTGCACAACTAGGACCTCATCATACCTCAACCAGGCCCGCTCGAGCCTCAGGCCGCAATCCCGAGACCAGCAGCAGGCACTTCCTCGAATGCCGAGGGCTCCAAAACTGGCTCTCCGGGCTCTCCGAGAGCTCTCCGAGTGCGATGAAAAAATCCCACGACTCCGGTGTTTTGACCAGGCAATTTGACCAGGCAATTTGGGTTTTGCATGATCTCAGGCGCCCGAAAGCAAGGGTTGCTGCACCATCCACGACTCCGTGGTTTGATGTCCGGCAACAAAGGCACTGCATTTTACCCGGCGATTTTGGAACGCATGACCGCAAAGCAAGGGTTGCTGCATCATTGAACACACCTCCACAATGGCTTCATGTTGGTCTGGTGAGAAAGGTAATGCTTTACCCACGAAAGGACAAACATCCCAAGCACAAAGGGCTACAAACGCTCAGTCACGACAAAGGCCATGTGAAACTTCACTTTTTCTCTCCCATCCAAAGAGCTTCTCCTTCCAAGCGAGCGGCACACGGCTCAGCTTCTCGTGGTCGAAGGTAAACAAGAACCTGCAAATGGCGTTTTTTAAGGGAAGCCACAGGGAAAACAACCATTTTGGGTCCAACCTTAAAAAAGACAAAACCAAACTTGTCACCCGGGAGTAAGTGTCAGCGCCCTGGGACTGACTCGGTAAAAGCCATGGCCCTGCGAGCGTTTCGCAGTACTTTTTTCGGAATCCTGGCAGAGCTGGGGCCGTTCCAAGTGGTTGGTCAACTGATGGCCGTTCTGGTTGCCGTGGTGAAAGTGGGGCAGGATGCGCGCTGCAATTATCCTTGTGAGGAGGGGGCAGTTGGGGGTGGATTCCGCGAAAGTTACCAAAGGCCCGAAAGAAAGCACAACCAGCAGCTGCTGTGGTCCATCCACCTCCCAAATTTGCGGCCCTTCCCTTCCCATCGCCGGCCTGTTGAAGGAGTGGCTGCTCAGCCCCGAACCATTCCCAGGATCCTGGCGAAACCAAACTCCAAACGTCCCCCTCCCGTTCTTTTTTTTCTTTTTTCCGGAGAGGCCCGAGAAGTCGAGTGCTGTCAGGACGTGGTTGTTGCGATTGCTTGGAGCCTCCTCTCGTTCCCAATGATTTCTGCAACTAAACGGCATGTGCTTGAGAAAACATGAGAAAACACTCACTCCAAGATGATGCAGCTGGATGATGCGTGTGCATGATGCCCGCGTATTGGCTTGTCAATCACATGTTGTCTTTCCCAGATCTCCCTTTTGGACCTACGCATGTGAGCAGCCGACAATATGACTAGCAAATACCGAGAGGGGCCTGCCCAAAAACCATACCGCAGAAATATCGTTCGTGGCTCATGCGACCCTTTTGCCTATCTCTGACATGTGCTGGCCTTTTGCCTGGTAAAAAGGAGCTGCAGGTCCAGTCCCTTCTACCCCATCTTCCAGCCGAATTTGGCAGACCTCGCACCCGCCTCGTAGATCGCCTCGGACAACCTCTCCATCCAGGGAGAGAACTCCACGTCGTGGAGCCGCAGGCAAGTGCCCAATACGACGCCCTGCCCGTCGAACAAATCGACGCGTCAACGGCCGATTAGTGAAGGGAGGCCCCTGGATTCGTTCTCAGCAGCGCCCCTAACGTTGGTTCCATGAGGTATGTCCATTGATGCCGTTAATTGTGGTTGTTTGATGCTCAATGAAGCAATGTTTTTTGCAGAGTGAAGACTTAGGAGATAAAATACTTTGCTTCTTGGCAATTTCGCAAACAATTGCTTACCACATGGCCGCTTAACGCAATCTGTCGCTCGTCCATGGCCTCCAGATATGCGACAGCAGTCAATTTGGCGCAAGTCACTCCGGTACTTCCAATGTGAAGCGTGGGGATGGGCGTGCAAGCCACAAGAGCGCTGCGGACAAAGCCCGATGCTACATTTTGTTAGGCACAATCTATATATATATATATATACACATACCTAGATCTTCCGGGTGTCCAAAATTTTAGGCGTTGGGCAAAACGAACATAATTTCCGCCGTTAGGGGGAAAAAAAGCCGTTTCTGGGTAGAAACGCCGCTCCCCCCAAAAAAGGCCGTTTGCACGGGGTCCACACGCGAGCCCGGCTCAACCGCCCCTTTGCCCCCAAGCGTGCGCTCCGTCACGGCGGGCCTGCCAGCCCGGTGCCCCAGATTGAAGCGGCACTGCCGGCCCACAGCGACAAAACATAGCGTTGAGTGAAGTGTGAGGGTTCACCTTCAGGGTTTCCTTAATACAAGAAAAACAACCCATGTTGGTAGCTTGTTTTGAAGGTGACGCAAACCGTTGAAATAGAAGGTTTCAGCCGACAGCGCCTGTCTAATTTTCTTGCAAGGATGCAAAGCGCTTATGAACTGCTCTGCATTTGATGAGATACAAACGGAGAGTCATTGTGCCACAGGTTGACGCATGGACCCGTCGGCTTAAGCGACTCAGTCGCCCAACCACGTCCTCATTCATTTCGCAAGCAAACTGCAATGGGTTTGGAACCCACTGAACCCGGGGATTCTGCAACAGCTGAAAAACTTCCTGTTTGCTGTGGGCTACCAAATGGAACTTGGGCTTGATTGCGTAGGCAGTAAAGCACCACTTCCTCAACGCCAGAAAGGCGAGCTTGTTGTAAGCAGCTAGGAACGAATGAACGTCGCTGCACCATCGTGTTGCGCAGCTCCTGTCAAACCAAAGTCCCTGGCTGTACATTGTGTTCTGAAACGAATCGACGTATTGGGCCGCCCTGTTCATCAGTTCGAGGGTGTGAACGTGCTCGTTCGAGATGGGCTGAAACAAGCAGCTGCGCGAAAAGACTCGCACCCATGCAACGAGTAGCGTTGTGTCCGCCCCCTTACTGTTTGTCCAACCAAAGCAGGACTGCTTCTTGGCGTTGAAATACATTGGGCAGAAGTAATGCACAGCCGGCGTTTTACCAATGCCTTTGCAGAACAGTCGGAAGTGGTTGAAAGCTCGCTCCAAAAGCACATCCCTAGCATTCGACACTCCTGGGCCTTGCTCGTTGAAATACCCCAAACGCGCAAGCAAAAGGATACTGGAGCCGGCAAAGTCCCGCAGAAGCCCGCATTTTGTGTTGTGGAAGAAGTCCCTTCTGATAATCCGCTCTTTCTGAGAACCGGCTTCGTGCGGTATCCGCAAGAGGGCAGGCTCTTGAGCACCCCAGGGCCTTAACGAGAAGACAGTTGGGCCCCAACCAGGGGTAAAGGAGGCATCTTCAAAGGGGAAATCAGCAGCACCGGAGCCTGCTAAGCACTCGTGGCAGCAATGCGCAGCAACTTCAGTGGTTTGCTGCTTCCAGCAGCGAGTCAGGCCGAAGGTCTTCAGGTGCCAATCCAAGTCCCCTTTGCAACCAGTAAACCCAATAAACCACCTTTGACCATTCACGTTCACGCCAACCTCGAATAGCTTTTCCAACTGCGCAGCAATAGCCTCAAGGAGCTTTGGTACGGCCTGCGTATTTTTGTAGATACTGTTCGGGAGGGCTGCCACGGCATACTTTGTCAAAAAACTGTGGTGTCGAAGGTTTACGCATTGCCTCCTTTGCAGAGCATCGCTTGGAGCTGACACTGGCGCACGTCCATTGGCGCAAATGCGCTTGGACACAGCAGGCTCAACCTCGCAACCCAGACAGCTGGCAAACTCCCTCGTCCGCTTCTTGTTGCTAAAAAGACCCAGGTTAGTCTCCAAACTGATGACGCAAGTGTTGCCTTTCTTGAGGCCGCGGCCCTCGTCGCCAAATAGGCTCATGCACAACGTGTTGCGTTTTGTTCTCTCAGGGTTGTCGCGCCTGGTGAATAAAACATGGCTTGGGTGGGATTGCTCATAAGCATCCCAGTAGGCCTCCAAATTATTTTGACCGGCTTCTCCTTTCAGACCCCCCATCAGGAGCTCAGGCGCCTTCGACAGCAGGAAAGTCACAAAATCTGTTGGGGAAATCCATGGTAGGGCAGTGTTGTTCCCGTACTTCAAATTTGAGATTGGCACTCGCCATGCCAGGCCCCACCTGCCAACAAACCGCTGAGCATCTCTGCTTGCGTTCGTGCTGCAGCGTGTGGCTGAGGCCATTTCGCCCGCTTCTTGGCGAGCAATTTCGCCAAAGTGCCGCAAGGTGGCTGCTGGGGCCTTAGTGTGGGCAGGCAAGGTCCAGCAAGCGCCACCTAAATCCTGGGCCCCGAGCGCCGTCTCCAAGGAGTTCAGCATAGTTGTCGGCCGATGGTCCGGGATTGCTTGGCCGGGTAGCACCTGGCATGGCCCAATTGTTGCGGAAGGAAGCCACTCAACAGCCTGCTTGGGGTGTCAGGGGCGCACTTTTTTCCACAGAGGGCTCAAACTCCCGAAGGCCTGGTGCGTATCGCAACTTGTGACTTCGACAAAGCGTGTTCATCACGCATTGTCCCCTGCCTTGGCAACTTGGCTCGTTTTTGGAGGCTCAAACGGTTTTGAAAAGTTGGGCCTGAAATTGAAACTCCGTGAAGGCAGGGCGAGATTGCCAAGGCAGGGCAACCCAAGCAGCTAGCCGCACACACTGCGCATTCCCCAGTGTGAAGGGCTAGCAAAAGCTGAATCTGACAAGTCTGTCTGACTTTACCTTACTGGGGAGGCTTCCTGTTTTGCCTTCCCCTTGGCCTTGGCCTTTGATTTCGAGGCAGGCTTTCGCTTGATCGCTGGCTTGTTGGGCTTGCCCTTCTTGTCCTTTGCGGCATTCGCAGGCTTCGGGGTGAATGGCCTGGCAAAGGTCAGGCTCACCAAAGGGACGCTAGGTAACCCACAGTCCTTGCTCTAGCTTCCAGTGCCAGGGATTCAGTGGCCCTTAGCCGCAAGCAAGTTTTCATGCATGGTTCGGACAGACCTTGCCCGCTAAGATTGGAGCATGGCCGTCGCCTCGTCAAGCATGGATCTCAGTGTTTTTTCCAGCCTGCGCGCGGGATGCTCAGCCTGGTTTCGCGGTGGTTTGGAGCATGGCAACCTCTTGCTGGGAAGGGGCTCTTGGGTGTAGCCTGACACAACTCCACGTGAGTAAACTTCGGAGATTTTCTCGTGCGTCTGCTCCAGTCCCTCGCACGAGTTCTGCAGCTTGTCCTTGAGCCTGAGCAGCGCAAGTTGGATCCATTCTTTTTTTGTTGGGTTTGGTGCAAACAAGAAGCTGGCGCTGGATATCGCTGAGTTCCTCAGCTTCTGAAAACTTGGCGGCCATCTTTGCGAGGCTACCCATCCTTTTGGCCATGCATGTCCTGGGCCGCTGGGATGGTTTGGGAAGGGGGACATCTGCACCCAGTCCAACTTCAAGGGCTGTTGTGCGTGCAAAGGCTCAAGTACTTGCTGGCAAGGGTGCTGGGGAGCGCATCGGGATCAAGCTCGGGAATCCCAAGGGACTTTCGTTTCTTATTTTGCTCTTTCTCGGCATTTGTGGTGTCCACAACTTCAGTGAGGTCCACAACGTCACCTGGCACCACACTTGTGAGTTTAGCAGCGTGCTGGCCCGAGGCCTTGCCCTGCCTCCTCCTGGCAGAGAAGGAGCAGGCCCACTGAGCCCATCCACATCAAGGCTCATGTTGTCGAGGCCCTTCTCTTCCACCCGCACGCGCTTTCTCACCGAAACCGTGGATGTTTTCCTTGGAAACGATCGGAATACCTTCCCACACAAAAGAAACGGCCCTAGTTGATCCCTCTTCCAAGCTTCTTCATAGACGCCTTCACGGCCCTCTCGGCATAAAAAAGGACAATGTTTTGGTAAGTGTCCATCCTCAGCATGAAAGGCGGGGAAAGCAACGAGGTCGAAACAAGCAAGCAGTGGCCGAATGCTTGCCAAGGCAAAGGCCGCATCAGTTTCTGTGGTTGGCTCTTGCAGTGCTTCTTGACGGCCTCAATCCTTTGCCTGAAAGGCTGCGGGCGTCGAAGGACCTTTTGCCGGCGTTGCCTAGCAAGAACCCCACCAGTGAATTCGGGGTCCAGGGAAGAAACGTGCGATTGATTTTACAAGTAATTGGTTTCTCTTTCAGTTTCAGGCGCGTCAGGCTATGAAGACTAAGGGCGCGCCCCAGTTTCAACTGACTGCTTGAAGTGGAAATCTGAGGAGTTCAACTCTGTTGGGCACTTCACCCCCCCCAAGCAACTGTACTTGCGCGTCAAGCAACTTGTTTGCAACTGAAAGGCTTCCCTGTCAGGGGGCTACCCAAACACCTAAAACCTATCACACTCATAGCCTCATGTGGAACTGAGTTCCCAAGCGAACGAATCCGAAACGCACACCTACCGAACATACCGTTTCATTCAGTAATTTGCATACCTCAGTCTCGTAAAGGGGCCGCCTAGGAGGTGTGAAGCTCATACTCCTAAACTGGGGAGGGGGGTTAGGTTTCGTTCCCTGAGGTGTCACCAAAAGATTGGCTGCCGGAGTCGGGAGCCTGACCTTCAAGGGTGGCCTTAACGGGGTGTCCTTGCAAAGAAAAGAGGTACCCCTCATAATGATTCAGCCTTGTGATTTTTTTAGGGGGACTTGTAAAGGAAACACCCTTCGAA